ACACACACATACACACATCGCATGCCTTAGACCACCACGAGAAAGCAACGGATGACAAAAAGTTGTCGTTGTGATAGTTTGGAAATGGGTAGGAGATAGCCGATAGTCTTCATTCAGTCATTATTAGTTGATTGAATTTATTTCAAGTTAAAAGAGCAATGAATGGTGGTCGCTGCAGCTGATTGTATAACATAAGCTTCTGAATTCTCGTGTTCAGAAGGATTCAGATAAAGGATTAGGTTAAATAAGTACATAAATTATTTCTTATTATTATTCACATATTTAAATTTGGATGTAAAAATTTGATTAGAGAAGCGGATCACTCTCATTAACAACATTGCAATCAAGTTAGGTATTTTAAATGATGAACATTTGAAAGTAATAGAACACTGTGAAATATATGAAGGTGAATGATCATTAATGAAAGGGACAAACAGAAGAATGTATGGTGACATATGCCAAATTCATGATAGAAATGATCGCATGTCAAGATTTCCTTGCATGATAACTATATTTATCATTTAGTGAAATCAATATTTGCTAAAACAAAATCACATCAAATAGAACAGCAGACATTGTTAAAGTTAAATGCAAATTTAAATTTTTAAAAATTAATGCTCTTTAAATATAATACAATGAATGAATGATTTGTACAATTTTGTTTAAATCTTTTATATATGCTAAAATATTTCATCTGTTAGTGACATAAAGTTATGATGGCGTAAAAAATGTGGAAACAAATTTCCCATTTCTTTGAAAACATATTGCAAAAATGAAATGATTCCCAACTCGTTAAATCTTATCAATTTTTTTTCAACAATAATAATTTCGTAAGTCATATGAATGAAAAGTGATATGCAATATGAAATCAATAAATTCTAAAGTTGTAGGAGGAAAGGTAACTTGGAAAATGAGCAATTATTTGCTACGTACAGACACACTCACTTGTCAAAATATTTAGAACCACAAAATAAGATTTCAAAATAATACAACCAGTTTACATCATAGACTCTCTTCATAAATCAAAATACTTCACATTTATAGTTTGTAAACATTTCATTTTTTTTTGCATGAAATAAAATTTTAAATCTTTTCCTCTAAACAAATTTTAAAAATAAAAATTCATTGTACTATTAATGAATCAACTGTTGAAAATTCTCATATCATTCAATGTATCACATAAACAATAATTTCAATCTCAATCACAGAATTCATTCGAATTTAATTAAATATTGGTTACGAAAGTGACGTGATACTATTTCCTTCTCGGCATTCGCTTTCATTGACCTTATGTACTGACAACTTCTAGGATGGTTTCGTATTGTGTTATAGATGAATTTTACGAAATTAAGACACAGGAGAAAAATGGACAGAGATCATTTTTCTTGGAGAAAATTTGAATTTGACTTTCTCTTTCATTCCAGTGAATCTCTACGATTTCTAAAAATCCGAATTCTTGATATTTTTTTAAGAAGACATTTCTTGGAAAAAATTACGAAAATTTTGATGAATTTTGAAAAAGTTTAAAATTTGACTTCTTTGGGACAATATTGAAATTTTTCTACATATTTTATGCTATAAAAGCCTGTCAATTTCAATTTACGGTCAATTTGTTATCTTTTCATAAGACGTTTTTCGGTTGTTCGCGAATGGAGCAGAATTCAGCATCTAATCTATGCAAGCTAAGAAATGCATATGATAATGATTTAACGATTATACCTGAAGTTGGTGCTAATTATATTTAGGAGAATTTGGATTTTCCTGAATGAATTTACGTTATTTTTAGTTTTAAATTTTAGATGGTCGATTCAGCATTAGCACATTTTTTCATGGAACAGTTATGGAAACCGATGAGTTTGGAAATACGCATTGTTCCGGAAATTCAAAATCGCCGTAATGTGACGCTTATCATAGGAGACAAGGAGTCTATGCACATTGAAGAAAATAAGGTTATCGATTTCATGCATGCTTTCCTTCTGGATTACATTGTAAAGTTGAAAGTTCATAAGTTTCAAAATTGTGTGTTTCTCGGAGTTCTTAAAGTAAAAGGAATTATATCGAGTCTTACTTATTAACATAAATATATGCAGTATTTACAACCATGTGTATGTAAGCGTCAGTTAGAAGAAGAAATTCAAAAACTTCGATTACATGTGGCTTTCAATGAAATACGAAAGCGATGGCATCAGGTTTGTTAATTTTATTAAGGAAGATTTATAACTGCTTTAATTTCGATCAAGTAAAGAAATGATCATGATTACAATGTTGGCTTTCCAGATTTTTCGAATGGTTTTTTGGTCAGTAATTTCGCATAAATTGATTACTAATTGTGCCAAATTTAAGTATTGTCTGACTTACAGTTCCATTCCAAACTCATGATTGAATGATTATAAAAAGTTACAATAATGCTATTGGATAGGGATAATTTTACAATTTTACAGGTATATCCGGGAGACAAAGCTACGACGAAATTGCCTTACAAACATGACCTATACATACCTCGAACCGATAGTAGTACATCAACCGCTAAACCGATAGCTACCGACAGAAGTGCGTCATTCAATCGGCAGAATAACGTCCACGCTATTCGATCCAGCTATTCCAGATCTCGTCAATCTTACTCATTCTAATAAATCGCTAATATTATCGAAAATTATATGAAATTAGCTTTATATAGTTTTCAATTGGATTTGTGGTTTCTTATTTAGCAAATTATTGAAACCGATTTCTTTTTTTTGTTCGAAAAGAGAAAAAATCACAGGTCACAAAATCACAAAATCACAAAATCAAAAAATCACAAAATTACAGAAAAAATCACAAAAAAATCAAGTTCGATGTGCATATTAATAGAGTTTAATATAAAATTTTAAGTTTATTCTTAGTGGAGGTTACATCTCAGTGACATTTATAAATCGAGACCCGAATCATTTCCATTATGAAATTATTTGCGGACATGACGAAGATTTTTGCCTTCGTTATCACTGGCAATTATAAACTCCATTGCTTTATCCTCGACAATGTTCACTCGTTTTACCGTTGAATTGCTCGTTCGCAAACAACTTTTCTTTGGCTAAAATAAACTTTTCTACGTAACTTCAGCACATATGCTTACAAATATATTTTATAATTTTTCTAAAAGACATACATATATCTTTTAGAAAAATAAATATTCTAACAAAATTTATTATTTTGCTTTCAATAACGGTGAAAAATATAATAATAATTAACATAATGATTAACGATTATAGCATTTTAACCTTTACAAAGAAATTGGGAAAATGGGATACTGAAAATTTTTTTTCATTTTTAATGATACTTACCGCAACGGCTTTTTGTAATTTTTGTCGTTCTCGGGCTGCAATAGCGCGTACATCGCTATTCATCGCAACTGATGGAGCTTGAGCAGCTGAAGCCGCAAGTGCAGTTTGTACCCAATATCTGGCTTCCATTGTTTCCGGACGTTCTACAATGCTTGTCACGGAACGGTTTGTCTGGAGACTCTTCAGGAGAAGCTCACGGCACACATCTTTATCAGTGACCGGATGACCATCAATATCGATCAAATGATCTCCAACCTGCAGCTGTTGCGATGCCAATGAACCCGGATCGCACCGAGACACGAGCACACGATTTTGGTAATGTTTGATACCGAGACCGAGTCTCGGACCACCAGGCTTCCACTCAAGTCGAGCCATCTTTAATATATTCAACCTGTTTGCAAGGTTTAAATTCCTTCGAACTTCAGAATCTTTATACAATATTTGCTCCATTGTGAAGCATGATTGTTTTTTTTTTGTCAAATATTTTTTAAAAAACAAATATTTTGATAGATTTTTATAGTTTCGAATCAGTAAGATTTATTATCAAAACAAAATTATTACAATAAACATAACATACAAAATATATATATCCATCACGACGAGTGATTAATTTGGCCCGATCCGGAGGTATGAGAACTTTGGCTTCAAGTTCAGCTGCCTTATTTTCGTCTCTCACCAATGTTATGGTAGCGCACGGCGGCGCAAAACGAAGTAGGTGGAAGAAATGGTCGCAATTTTGAACAATGGTGCCGTTTAGCTTCAACACTTGATCACCAATCTGAAATTCTTTAGGTGTTAATATACCGCAAATATTAACATTATCTGTGATTGTGAATCTCTTTCTGATAAAAGATTCAACATGATGAGATTTATTTACAAGTGAATTTTCAAAAAAACCTTAAGATTTCCTTCTGCGAGCGTTCCTGGTTGAACCTTAACAATAATCAGTTTATCATTGGGAACTGCTCCCAGCGGATCGCCTTCCTCCATCGGTATTGCAATCGATATTTCCTTCGCCATTAAATCAGAGCTGCCGGAAGAACGAACTGCTTCCGATAAGTCACAATAAACCAAATAACCGGAACTTATCTTTTACAGTTTTTATATAATAACTACTGGAATATGCGATATTTTCCTTGTAAAAAATCTCATTAATGCAGAAAAATTGCTTATAAAAATTAAGTGGAAGTGAATTAGAATACGCAACTGGTTTTTGAAATTTAAATTTGGATTCAAATTTTATCGCAATACGACTTTCATGCAAACTAGAGAGGATCCACGGTATTTCAATTTAATTTCATTTCATCTCTTCAATAATTGGAGATTGGATGATATATATTTGTGCCAAATAACTTGTTCAGTTTTAAGCTTGATATTTAAAGTTAAATTTATTTTTGCCGTTATCATTCATCTCATTATTTTATTTAATTACCTTATTCATTTGTACTTGCTTACAATGTGAAATATATATAAATGTACAAATGATGAAAGCTTAAATTACAGTTCATTGTCAAAAGAAGTTCAAATTCTTCAAATTTTTTGTGTCAATGTTTGCCGATGTTTTGCTATTAAAAATATCGTTTTCATTGCCTGAAAAATATTTCATTCTGAATTTTAACAAATAACACCATAAAATTTTTTTGTATTGTAACTTTATAGTTACAATAAAATTTTAGTTAAATTTTCACTTCAAGACTTTTAATGCATGTAAATCATTATTTCTCTATCGTTAAGTTCGAATGTAAATTGAAATTTACACGGGTAGTACCTCAAATTTTCATTACTATTTTCATCCATGACATGATTTTGAGATGCTGTTGCAGTTTGCAGAACGGATGAATTTGGTGAAAGTGATCTGACCCTAACTCTCAGCAAGGACCTTCTTCTATCTTGAAATCTGAATCCTATTCTGGAACCCGCAATTGAACTTCTTCTGATAATGCCGGCTACTCTTCTCGAATCCTCTTCACTTCCATGTAATCGTTGCTCACTTCGACTACGACGTTGCTGTTCAACAAGTCGAGAATGATCGTTATGTCCATTTTCATCCCTGTATAATCGTACTAATCTCCTAGCGATTCTATTTTCTGGAATTGCTTCAATTTGCTGAGCAACAAAATTCCGCACAATTTCAACTCGTCTAATTTGCATACGCGCATAATTAGGTGCTAGTATTCTTCGAGGCTAAAAAAGGAATTAAAATTAAAATTTGAAAAGCTAGAACTTTAATACAAACGGTTTTTGTTTTACATGAGAGAGAGAGAGAAAGAGAAGTGAGAAAGATTCCAAG